GCTTTCTTAGCATTCTTTCTTAATTTTTTATATTCTTCTCTGTCTTCCTCTTTATCTGTTCTTAGCCATTTAATTCTGCATTGCACTTTTTTCAGTCATTTCTCTACATTCTTGGTTATAAGATTCGTTTTTTGTTTTATCCTGACTTTTACCTACCTGCATATTTGTACCTTCTTCTATTGATTTTTTGATCGTCTCCCATTCTGTGTTTATATCTTCTCCTTTATATTTCTCTTCTATTTGAACTGTTACTGCCTCTTCATATTTTTTTATTACTTCTTTATTGTTAATTTTATTGACATTCCACTTTTTATGTTGGTTTTTGGCTTTTTATCTTATAGAGGCTGTGCCTGTAACATGTCAGTCAGTTGAATAGTTTGGAATTTGTCGACCACCACTATTTTTGTCTTAACTTTATTGATTTTCAGACCAACTTTATTGCTTGGGTACTCAACTCTTTGCAGGATACTTAAAAGATAAGATAAAAAGATAAATAATCTAAAAGCTTAGTACATATATCAATATTATAACACTTGATCGGTGACCAATTGCATTCTGTAAGCAAAAAACAGACCAATCGATGTGCGAAATTAATTTCTAATTATTGATCTTTGTTTTAAATATGAACTGGTGATCACTTGAATGTTTCGAAGGCAACAGTCTGTCGCATTGTAAGAAAATTGTCTCGTTACACTGGTATATTATAAGATGCAAAACCGAAACAACAGACACTGTCGAACATGCATTGAAATTAAAATGGAAATGGGCTGGGCATAACGAAAGATATCAGAATGGAAGATGGAATAAAGAAATTGGCCGCTGGAGACCATATACTGCAAAGAGGTCGACCGCAAATGAGATGGAAAGATGACATTGAACAAAACGCAGGTTCAATGTGGAAAAGACAAACAGAAGACAGAGACAAATAGAAACAAATTGGAGAGGCCTGTATTCAACACATGAATAGATTTTGGGCTATAGATAGATAGATAGACACTGGTCTATTACGTCCTCTGTATAATTTTAGACACTTATTAACAGTAGCTAGGAAATAGTTTTCAGAATGTGTCTTAGACGAGAAACTTTAAATAAGTATAAACGATAACAGTCTAAAATGTGACAAAATTGTTAATAAACTTCAATATAAATAAGATTTCATGTGACAGTTGGGACAAACAATAACATAACCCAACTAAATTTGATTTCTTAAACAAGGAAAGACTCTCTTTCCTTGTTTAATGTGGGCTTTCAAGATGGCACTTCCTGTCTAACAATATTTTTGCCCCCACTACCTTTACATTCCCTCTTTTGTTTTTTTGCTCGATGCAAATAACTGTGGCGTACAAATAGTTATTGAACCGCAATAAAATATAATCGACTAATCAATGTTATTCACCGATTTATTTGATGTTGGTGGAACCGACCCTTACAGATATATTTTAAGTGCAGTTTAAACCAAAAGTAAAATTAACTTACTGGAAAATGTATATATAACTAAGTTTTTCTATATGTTAAAGTTACATGGAGTTGTTGGAGTTTATAAGTCGTGCTCCGAAATTGTTTGTTCCTGACATGACGTTTGGTATGTAAATGCGGCAAACATTATTAAAGGAAGCGCATGTAACGTGACGTCATATCGTTTCCGTTAACCACTGTTGATCTTTCTTGGATTTCTGAGCTATATGTAGCCGACATAATCCTCTGGAATTTGTCAATTGAACAGTATCAGTATTAAAATTTTTGAGTGCGTCTCGGCAGTTCTTGTCGCAGATTCATTTATCGGGAGTTCGTGGTCACATCCGATTTAGATGCAGACTCTTTTCTTTACGATTAAAAGTAATCAGGTCTTTTTAAATTTGAAGTGAGAAGTAGAATATAATTATATATCATAATTACATATCATATATATGATTATAATAACGATGTCAAACATAAATCGAACAAATTCAGTATTAGATGTGAAGAAATAAACAAAGGCACAATCAAACGAACGATATCGGACTGGGTGGAATGGATGAAGCCTGACCACTGATACGAACAAACAAACACTCGAAGCCTTCAATAAATGAACCTACGAAGAAGAGATCCAAAAATCTTACTGAATATGAATAGGAATTCTTCTTCTTCTTTAAGTGCCCTGTCCGTTTCGAACGTTGGCTATTAACATGGCAATTCTGATCTTGTTTGCGGCGCTTCTGAATAGTTCGACCGATGTAAGCCCGAACCACTTCCACAGATTTTGGAGCCACGAGTGTCTTCTCCTGCCTGGCCCTCGCTTACTGTCTATTTTTCCCTGGATAATCAATTGTAGCAGACGGTACTTATTGTGTCTCAATATATAGCCTAGATATTCATGCTTTCTTTGTTTAATTGTATTCACGATTTCTTTCTCCTGACATGTTCCGTCCAGGATATACGAAGAATGCGTCGGTACACCACCCATGAATAGGAATAATTATAATAATAATAGAGCGCATAACAGGACAATATCGCTTCAATGGACATATAGATATAATGGGACTAACAGAAAGTGCGAATTGCAGATTTTAGATATTCTCACAGTTTTAAAAACAAAATAACAGACAGTTAAGCAGATATTATCATCTAAGAAAAACAGAAAAAACTTTTGTATTTATTATTACAAAGAGTTATAGAACGCTGAATAACAACTGGGAATGTGATTATTGTTTACTAAATCCAAAAGATCTTTTTTATTATTCTCTTTAATGCTGCGTACACATTTCTAGGTCTGTTGTAAGGTACTTGGAATGCTATTGTTTTTTCTTCGACAGAGATCTACTTGCTTGAAATCTTTATTTTTATATGAGGTTTTATAATAGAGGGTGGTAGGATTATCTTGATTTAACTTAAAAACCTTTACTTTAGTAATCTTTAAAGATTTGATGCCTGTCATGTCTATGTCGTCACACATTTGTTTAAGCAAATCAAAATTTAAATTACCGAATTCATTTACATGGTAGGGTTTTTTCTTTTTTGCCAAACGAATTATTTGTACAGACTTTATACTTTTCTTTATATCCTTCTCAATAGTTGAATGAACACAATCGCCTTTATTCTGATTATGTCCACTTATTAAATATTTGTGAGTTATTGAACGTATTTTAGGGTATTTACCCAGATCATAAATAATACATAGCAACTAAAAATCTATTTTTTTATTGGTCACAACAATACTATCTGAAAAGAAAACGAAGTCAAGCCCAGCTTAATTATCCATTACCCAATTGTTTTTTAGAAATGAACCTATTTCATCACTCTTCCTATTTACATGCCCTTCATGCCAAAAGTAGCATTCCGTTGAACCAGTCTTCAAATCAGACACCGTGAAGTTGTAGCAATTCAACTTCAACTTCTAATAAAAAAACAGATACAGTTCCTTGCGTTGTATGAAGAACTGCTTGCAAATCATAAACTGATACAATGTACATACTTGGTATTAGCCTTTGGCTTTTCTCGATCATTTTCTTTTGTAGATAAATCTTTTTCTATCTATTTCAAAAATAGTTTAAAAAATTTGCTCAACTTCGAAAAACTGTCACAACACAAAAAGAACAGTAGTTGATTTATTGCAATAATCAGATATACCTAATGATTTATACAAAAACTGTCACAATTCTAAATATGACCCTTTTCAGGATTAAGCACTACGTGTAGACTGTTATAAAGTCAAATGTGACACTGTAGCGGAATGCACGCTCAGTTAACCTGTAAAATACAAAAGTGTCACATCGCCACCTCGCGATAAATAGTTCAAATATAAAAATGACGCTTTTATGGAAGACGACTTATTTCATTACTTGTAGCATGCAATATCTCAATAATGACGATTTTTGAGTTATGACTCTTTTTTAGCGGGGGTGCGATATATACGGGTGTGTCACCACTGGACAGGAGTATAAGCCGCTCATTAATATGAGCTCCTCTGATTCATTTTTCGCGAGGATCACTCCCATTTTCTTTGTTCTCTTGTTTTCTGTTATATTCCTTCACAGATTATTGGGTGATTTCGTCCGATTAGTGATCTATTCCTTTCTATTTTCTACTTTGATATTGACTGATTGAACGATTTTCTGAAATAATGATTATTATCGAACAAAAATTATGTTTGTTCAAAAGTTTTCGAACATATTTGTTGTTATTGCCTTTAAGAACAATAAATGAAGATAAAAATCAAAGATAATGATGATGATTTGTTTTTATTATCTTTAATCGTTTTATGTTCATGACCAGATTCAGACCAACTTAAGTTAATCAACCTACTATAATTATATCACAGGTAAGATAATACAACTTACAGTCCTTACGCCCCCTTTTACGATCCTTTCAGCTACTACAATTTATTCCAGGTATCCTAATGGAGGACTATAATAGAGTTGTCGATATGCATTTTAAGATTGCCGGCAAATTGCTTTTTTATGAATCATTTGGTTCCTAATTCAGAATTTATAAATTGCTGTTACGCAATAAATTGCGTATTTAAATTGAGTATTTAAATATAAATTGGTATTTTCGTATCTGCCGGATTTGATCTTTTATTAAGTTTTAAGAAATTACATTAAGTTATTAGATGGGCAAGTGAAATTTGTTTAATGTAAAAATAGTTTAATCTTTTTAGACCAGAAATTTGCCTAGAAATGGACAACGAATTGCACGTTCCCTTTCAAGTTTATCTTTGATTATCAATGGGAGTAATTCATGTTTTATATTCTGTAGAAATTGATGGAAATATTTTCTTGTGCCTGTGTTAATAATTTCAAAGGCTTTACTGATTTAATATACTAATTCATGTTACGATTAGTCCACGGAATTTTTGACATAAGGTTTCGGAAGTTTTCTGTATACCGCATTAGCGCATTAGGGAATGTAAATATGCGTTTTTACAGTGAAATTTTCGTACCACGATTTTTTTAACTTTAAAAAAGGTTATTTTAATGGCATGTGATTTCTTAAGTGTTGTCAAAATCTTCATTTAATCACCAATGTTAAATTCACCAGATCTGGTAGATTTTGCTGTCACTATGGGTTTACCAAACAACCACTTAAGAGCTTCATCTTGTTATGACCTGTCTTCTGACTATTCTCCTGTTTTAATAGAAATAAGTTCAGAAATCCTTTACAGAACACCATCTCCTATATTAACTAACAAATCCGCAAACTGGGAACAATTTATAGAATTACTAACTAATAAATTAGAATTAAATATTTCACTAAAAAAAAACCTGGAAATTGACAATGCCATAGAAACCCTTAATCAATACATACAAGAAGTTGCATGGGAATCAACGACAATCAAGGAAATAAACCGCCCTACTTATGAACTACCCAATAAAAGAAAAAAAATTACTAGCAAACGAATATTAATACATAAATGGCATCTATTGAAAGCAGCATAAGATACGACCAACTTGAACAGAGCTGCAGCACAGGCAAAAGCATTATAAAATAACCACAAAAACAGTGGTATACATTCTTATCTCAGATATCTTTCACCTACAGAAGCTATCGAGTATTTACTCTGGAAAGCAACCATGCAAACAGAACGTCTTCAATTCTACAACCTTCAAAACCGCCTAAAGATGGCGCACGATTTTCCAGCCTTTTTCTGCAGATGAACGTATTAATATAGATAATAAAATCCAAATGTATCTATAATTTCTTTATTAACTTAAAATTCCTCTAAAAAAAATTACATTGAAAGAAGTCAATATCCTATAATTCACACTAAATTAAACCCCAAAAAAGTTCCTATGATATGACCTAATTATTGTAAGTACCTGAAAGGAATTACCAAGAAAAGCCCTTCTTTATCTTATACAACTATATATCGCCATATTAAGAATAGGACATTTTCCTCGAGTTTGGAAATTAGACCAAATAATATTAATTCCAAATTCCGGAAAATCCTTGGAGAAAACGTCAACGTCTTACAGTCCTATTAGCCTGCTCTCTATTATGTTGAAAATATTGGAAAAACTGCTGTTATCCAGAATAAAGCCAATTTTAACTGACAAACAAATAATACCTGATCACGTTTGGCTTTAGGCTACAGCACGCTACCACTGTACAAGTTCACCGGAATAACCAAGAAATACGCCAATCACTGAACGACAGAAAATATTCTTTCTTCCCCATTTTGATTTTTCAACCAAACCCTAAACTTGGAAACCATGAATAGGACCAGCAAGCGAGGGGCTCCAGTAAAAAATTTGATTAAATGGGAAAAAATCGACGCAAGATGATATCTACTGCAACCAATGAAAAATAAACAATATTGAAGATGTTCTCATATCTCAAAACTGTTCCCAACGAGGTGTACCCTCAGAGATTTATGGTTTAAAAATAAAAATAGGCCGAAATTCTGTATACAACTTGCCTGGGTAGGATAAAATAAAGCAAACATACGTATTCTTCATTAAGACCTGAATCTTCTAGCACTTTTCTCAGTTTAGAAAGTTGTATAGTATTAAAATTAAATAAAATGTTTCTAAAAACGGATCAAATTTAAGTGAACACATATGTTTCCTGTTGGGACAATTTCCCTTTTCCCAATTTCCCTTTTCTCTATTGCTTTTGTTCTTTTCCTCCTCGATCCTTGACTTTTTGCTGATTCTCCCATTCTCTTCCTCGCTATCAGTCCTCGTAGTTGATCTTCCTATGGAGTCTCTTCTTCCCAAGACCTTAGGTTCCCCTAGTTTTTCAAGCTGTTTTCACTCTGTATCCTCGTGCTTAGTTTTCCTCTTGTTTTGTTTTATTAAAACTTGTCAGTTGTTTTGCATCCATATGTTTCCACGCGTCGGCGTCGGGAAGAACAAAGATTTTGCTAGACAGTGCTCCCTTATCCAGCTAAAACACTTATCACCCCGGAAGATTGAAAGGTATCCCGGGGGCACTGTTTGTGGCTGCGTTCGAGCAGTCATTCATCCCCTGGTTATGGTGGCTCACGAGCCGGGATCGCGGATGTTTTCGCAAGGGTCGAGATGACAACAATGCTCGTATACCGCCTGGTATTCCTCGATGCAGGTGCTTACCTTACACTGTGGGGAGATGAAAAGGATAAAGCATGGATAACGAGTGGGTGATGTTTTCTCATTGTACTAGGAATTTAAGTCGGATGTTTCTTTGGAAATCTTGGTCGCTGACCATTTGGTAACTGCGATGTATGTCGCAGACATGGAAGGTGACAGTGTGGACCTAAAGATCTTCAATTTTTATCAGAGATTAGTACAATCAGAGAAAGGTTTTTTGGGGAAGAACGCGCAGCAATTGGGAATTATTGCTGCGCCTTTTAGCGTCCAGCGGCGGAGTCCAGCGTCAACCTGGTGCACCGACGCTGGATGCTATTTGGACTGTTCTTGGTTTCATTGGTCGTGCTCCCCTTACATTAGTAGAGACTAAGACCGACTACTCGACCTTCCACCATGTTGAGGTCATTCCACGGATTATATTATTTTCCTCGTATAGTGTCTTATTTAAAATAAACTTATTTTAAATCAAAATTGTAGTTAATTCTCCGTAAAAATATTAAATTGTTTTAATGACCCTGTAATGAACTTTTATTTAAACTCAGTTATATTCATCTATTTCCCAACACTGATAAAAATAATAATTCAATTAAAAAAATAACCTAAAGCAATAAATAAAAGAAAATTGAGTAATCAGAATAGGAACTGTAAATAAAAACTTTAACTACTAACAATAATTATATTCAATATTTCGAAATATGGTCGACCTAGTTTTAAAGAAACTGTAAAAATCTTTATCAGTACCACCGTAATACCGATCTAATCTTATTTTTTCAGTATGAAGGGAATTAGTTGATAGTAGAAAATAAAAAAAAAGGATAGTATCGTTTTTTAAATTAATTTTTAGTTGTCAGCCTGTATAGATGTCGATATAATTTTAACGTATAGCCTTCTGTAGTAAAAATGTCTTAAAATTTATAGGAAATATTAGTCTATATATAGGGTATACCAAGTTATCGTTTACATGCAACATTCCTCTTATTTTTCAAAAAAGTAGAAAAGCCAAACAAAAACTCCTTTCATTTTTATTTCTATATCCTTCTAAAGATGTTACAAAACTTTATTTACTATTATTATCCCTTCTATCTAGATATTTCCATCTATTTCTGTTCTGCGTTCCTATTGGTTACAAGATGGAGTGTTGAAAGAATAAATCAGTTACACTAAAACAGAATAGCATGGATCAAAATACAATATACAACGACTAAAATTACTAAAAGAAAGCAAATTCGTTGGAATAGCAAGCTGCCATCGCCAAATAGAAAAGGGTGGTAGAGCGTGGATTTTCTAAACTGCTGTGACCTTGAAAATATCTGCTCGTCGGGTAAATTTGTACTTTGCGCGTGCATGAGTCATAACCATTAAATAATCAACTACCTCTAGACGTTATGATGAAAAGATATACCACACATATCATATCAGATATATAAAAAATAATGGCCAAGGCGATAAACAAACAAATAGCTTGTGCTCTATTGAACTAATAACAAAATGGTTCATATTAATTAAAACATTGCTCCTTCTCATAACATGCAATATATAAATACTTTAATTATATTCATATAGAATGTCTCCCGACTTGATTAATGGTATATTGGCAGCCCGTAGGGATATAAATAAAACACCGCCACAACTTTCGTCCAGTTGCACTGACATTGGCGATATTTGTAAGAAAGAGGTACAAATCTGTGGTAATAACAACAAGCGGCCATAAATTGCTTCGATTCGATTAGGAAACAAGTGGTGACAACACGGTAATAAATAAGAAACGAAGTGGCTTCGCGATGTCTCCTTTTTATAGTTTATGACTTCTTGACTTGTGTTTATTATGTTAAATGCACTTATATATATAAACAAAATTTTAAAGATATGCATAAATTATTTCTATTGTAAAATATATTTGAGTGACATGAGTGCAATTAGTGAAACGATGAACAATGCGAGCGGGTTTTCCAAATGGACTTGTACAGTGGATAAGACAATAGAATGAATATTTAGGAAATATATTTCTCCGTTAGTTCTTAAGAATTTGTAGAAACCGATTAGCATGTAAATAGTTTTTAGGAAATTTATAATTGTAGGTAAAAATTGTTGTTTGTTATCTGAATGAAGAGATGGGGATATGTAATATGAGCTTTGATTGGAGGAGATTGAAAAAAGTGGGATGGTTTGTAAGAATGAGAGTTAGCTAGATTTTTGAGGGAAAAAAGATAATCAGTTGGTTTTTTTTACCATTTTAGGTAGTGTGCTACATAATTTGATTAACTGGAATAAGTGTCTTGATCCGTCAATACATGATGGTCGAAATTTCACTCTGAACCAAAAGGGGACATAGACTTTGGATATATAAGTTGCCAATAGACAAAGACTTTCATCTGAAACTTCAGTTGCTACGTAATGCCTCATAATCTGGTTAGCTGTTGTAAGTCATATAGCATGTGACAGTTTCCCTTGATTTCTTGAGGCCAAGGAAGCAGATACATTTCCAGTTTCAACTGATCGCACGCACTATGTCCAACAAATACTGTTGATCAGTACTTAAATCAGACCCGTTGCGATCCAGCAATGGTAGATATGATTGTGTTCTTTTGTACTTTTTTACTGGAAGATTTTCCGATTTTTTACCGAAGGATTCTAGTTTTTCCGTAATTGAACCTTTGTGTCCACCAGGACCTGAAGTTTCGCCATCAACTTATTTAAACAAGGTCGCAGGGAAGCTCATTTAAGTGAAATAAGCAAATAAGCCACCGCAGAGGACGGTTTAGTTCTTTTTCTAACAAACGAATTACACCGTTTTTTGCTCCGGTATTTACTACCGTCCTTTCTTCTGTCAAAGAATAATCATAAAATAGCAGGTTTTTCCGTGGTTTTGGTCATACAAAGTTCTCGTTGTGATGTTCGGGTCCTTCTAATTCTCATTCTTTCTACTGTCATTGTGGCACTTCCTTTTGATATAATACCCGTGTCTTCCAAAACAGCATTACCTATTATAGCTGCTGCACAATCTGACACTCCAGTTCTATCACATGCAAGTGCAACAGATGGTAACTTTACTCTCATTTGCGATACACTTTTAATTTTTAGATTTGATTTGTTTAAAAAAGAAAAGTTTTCGTGTTTTTACTTAGGTACATGCTTCAGAAAAATTATAAGTTAAACTTACATGAGACATCATCTGGATCTGGATCTAATCTTTTACCAGGAATATCGTTTTCCTGTTCTTGACTAAGGGCAGATGCTACTGATTCCAATTTTAGATTTTTTCTTGATATGGTCGTCGTGTAACTAGAGTATTTGGGTCACATACCCAGAGGAGAAAAATATGAGCTACTGAGAATTATTATGCAAGGAAGGATCCAAGGAAGAAGAAG